AATAGAATTTCGTACAGTCCCTACAGTGTGGAAACAGGCCATTCGGCCCAACAAGTCCACACCGCCCCTCTGAAGAGCATCCCACCCGGACCCATTCCCCTAATTTTCCATGTCTAACCCACCTAACCTAAACACCCCTGGGTACTACAGGCAATTTAGCCTGGCCAATCTACCTACCCTGCACATCTTTGGACTGTGGGAGGAAACCGGAGCACTTGGAGGAAACCCACACAGACACGGGGAGGACGTGCAAACTCCACACAGACAGTCGCCCGAGGGTGGAATCGAACCTGGGTCCCTGGCGCTGAGGCAGCAGTGCTAACCACTGAGCCACCATGCCATCCTGCGAAGGAGCCCTTTTGTCTCTGAGTGGGTGGGTTTGCACTCATATGGCACCACTCTCAATCTTAGGATATCAGCAAGCGCTTTCCGACTATCATTATCGTGATAACGTTACCAAACACAGCCACCAATTTATCGTATTGCCTATTTGGGGGATTTAATGTTAGGCAAGGGCACCTGGAAAACTCAAATAAACACAGAAAGTGCTAGAAAAACCCAACAGGTCTGGAACCATGTTGTGGAGAGTTAATGTTTCAAATCCAGAAAAACTAGTCTAGTGAGAGACTTCCTGACACACATATGGATCCTGTGTGAAATAGGGGGTGGGTTAAAGATCATGCCTGATCGGTGGTGTGTCCCTACTCGTTCTCATTTGTATGAGAGGTGATGGCGTAGTGGCATTATCACTAGATGACTGATCCAGAGATCCAGCTAATGTTTTGGGGAGAGATAGTAGGAACTGCAGATGCTGGAGAATCTGAGATAACAAGGTGTAGAGCTGGATGAACACAGCAGGCCAAGCAGCATCATAGGAGCAGGAAGGCTGACGTTTCGGGCCTAGACCCTCCCCGGTTCGAATCCCACCATGGCAGATGGTAGAATTTGAATTCAATAAAAAATAATCTGGAATTAAACAATGTAAAAGATTATCTGTCTCATTAATCCCCTTTAGGGAAGGAAACTGCCATCCTTACCTGGTCTGGCCTACATGTGACTCCAGACCCACAGCAATGTGGTCAACTATGAACTGCCCTCTGGGCAATTAGGGATGGATAATAAATGCTGGCCTAGCTAGTAGTGTCTACATCTCATAAATGAAGTTTTAAAAAAAATAACAAAGTGTCAGATATGACCAAGTCTAAATTATAATAAATCAATCACAGCCAGAATTGTTACTACCATAACTAAAAATAGTCAAAATACTTGGATTGCTCCATGCACAGTGTAGTCTGAGAATGAAACTTGAACCTCTGTTCTTCCTTTTAGGGATGGGCTGCGAGTCTGTTTCTCTTTCAGTTTGATTCTTATTTCTTTTAATCTCCTCAGGGAAATAAAATCTTTCAGCAATTTGTTTTCATTCACGGGATGTGGGCGTCGCTGGCTAAACCAGCATTTGTTGCCCATTCCTAATTTCCCGGACAGTGATTAATGGTCAACTACATTGCTGTCACGTGTAAGCCATACCTAACAGATTTCATTCCCTAAAGTTAATGAATCAGATGGGTTTTTCCTGACAATCGATTCATTGTCATTATTAGACTCTGCATTCAAATTCTACCCATCTACCCTGGCAGGATTCAAAAACGGGTCCTCAGAATTTTACCTGGCTCTCTGGATTAACAGTCCAGTGATAATACAACTAGGCCATTGTCTCCCCTCTGCTACAAGTATCAGCTGGTAACACCAAATGTGTACTGTACAGACCAGAGGAGATACCTAGTGCTGCCAAGTGTTTGGGGAAAAAGCAGGAACAGGTTATCGAGGTGGGGGATCAACTACGATCATAATGAATGGCACAGCAGGCTCAAAAGGGCCGAATGGTCTACACCTGAACTATTTTTCTGCGTTTCTATATTTATTCCCTTCTCCTTCATATTCCTGTCTAAACACAAGGCAAAAGAACTCAAACAGAAATTCGAAGATTCTTTACCCCAGATCCAAAGGCTCGTTAAGATCTGGAGTATGCTTCTGAAAAGCTCATGGAATCCGTCTCTGTGAAAACTTTCAAAAGACAATTAGCTATGTGCTTGAAGTAGGACCAGCCTCCAGGTTACTGGGCAAAGGTTGGACAGCTTCTTCACACGAGCTGACGCATGTAAGATGGGCTGAAGGACTTCCTTGACGTTAAAAATTCTACAATATTGCTGGCACTTCCCCAAGGTAATTCACCAGAACTTGACACACTTTGGTCACGTGGGGCAACTGTAGGTGTTGAACATTCAGAGAATGGAGGGCAGCCCACAGCCCATTCAGAATGCTGCTATCAGAATCACAGGCTCATTAAAATGACCCCCTCAAAACGACAAACTCAACAAGAGCCTGAAGAATGTGAAACAGACATTTGTGAAGCATGCCCGACCGGTGAGAACATATCTGCCCATTTGCTACATGAGACTACTACAGACCAGGAGAGTCCCAATTCCCTCTTCCCCACTCAACCTTCAATCTGCCTTTGTCAACTTAAAAAAACTGTCCTGTACAGAGAAGTGGAATTTTTGCACACATTGTTTGTTGCATAAGCACGGTCCTTTACATTTCCCCAGTGTAAAATTGAAGGTAAGGTATTAACAGGTTAACATAAAGCAGTTAGTCATTTAAGCATCACAATTATGTGATGCAAGATTCCCTTCTCATGCATGATGACCTACCCTGGCTTGTCTAGCAGGTTCGATCATAGTGTCTACCTGAATTCTGTCAGCCTCAAAACTTTGAAAAGTGCAGCTCTTGGTGTTAGAAACATTGAGATCTCTTTGTCTCAGACTCAAAACGTTTGCAAATTGGTGGGAGCAAAGGTTTAAACTTCGCCTATGGCCCCTCCACGCGCTAAATGGTGTTTGAAGGCAAAGACTTGTACATTTCTATTCACTTGTCTTAAAACATAGTAGTTGGAACAAGGTCAGCCAGCTGGACATCATAGAAGATTAATTCAAAAACAGAAGTTGCTGGAAAAGCTCAGCAGGTCTGGCAGCATCTGTGAAGAGAAAATCAGAGTTAATGTTTCGGGTTTGGATCTGTCCTGAGGAAGGGTCACCAGACCCGAAACGTTAACTCTGACTTTCTCTTCACAGATGCTGCCAGACCTGCTGAGCTTTTCCAGCAACTTCTGTTTTTGTTCCTGATTTAGAGCATCCACAGTTCTTTCGGTTTTTTATAGAACAGGAGTTCCTTGATTGGACCAGATTAATGGCCCCAGTTAAGAAGCCTTGGCTGAAATATAAAAAGGGGAGTGTCAGAATCAGAAATACTGACACTCTGAGAGCTGACTCATGCCAACACTTCAGTAGTTATTATTGCAATACAGATAAGAGAACCTTAAAACTGGCTACCAGAAAAGCATCAATGTCCAAAAACTAGCCAACTTTAGAATCTTCCATGCAACAATGTAATTTGAGTAAAATTTAAAATAAAGAACTACCCAAACAATTCAACAATTCACTGCCAACCTACAGCCTAGGTCCAGACGAAGTCATTGGCTTTGCTCGCCATTGTATCCCAAATAACCCTCGACTCCACCTGACCCTAAATCCAGAAATATCCAAAAACCAGCAAGGTCTGGGTCTGGAATGCGTTGGATCTGTGGTATTACAGCATATTTATGTTTGTTTTAGTGTCAGAGGAAGACTAGGAATGGGAAGGTTTGTCCTTTGAAAGGGTGCAAGTTACGGATTTTTAATACAGATTTGAGAGGAAAAAGTGTTTTTTTTGGTTTCTCTCCTCGGTAACCCAGGTCTAATCCTAAGGCCACTTTTCCTTGTTTTAGATTCTCCCCACCAGAGGAGACATTTCTCAGTATTGACGTTTTTGAACTCTTTCAATGTTTCACACACCTGGGTCAGAGCAGCCCTCAATTTCCTGAACTCAAGGGAAAGCAAGCCCCTGTTATCATTCCAGTGAATCTGCGCGGGATCACTCTCTTCGAATATCCTTCCTGGACTTTGTGGTCTAGAACTGAAATGGTTGGAAGCCTGATGAAGGTTTTTGTCCAACCGAGGGAGAATGGCCCAGACTCTGGCAGATGCAGTTTAATGTGGATAAGCGCGAGATTGTCCATTTTAGCCAGAAAGATAAAAGTACAAATTATTATCCGAATGGGAAGCAGATTCAAACTGTGTCAGTGCAGAGGGATCTTGGAGTCCTTGTGTATGAATCACAGAAAGTGGGTATGCAGGTGCAGCATAGAAAAAGAAAAGGCAAATGGAATCCGAGCATTTATTGCAAAAGGACTGGGATTATAAAGGTAAAGAAATGCTATTACAATTATATAAGGCATTGGTGAGACCACAGCTGGAGTGTTGTGTCCAGTTTCAGTATCCCTACTTGAGGAAGGATGTGGTGACACTGGAGGCAGTTCAGAGGAGATTAATCCCAGGGACGAAAGGGCTGTCACACGAAGAGCAGTTGAATAGCTTGGACTTGTACTTGCTGGAGTTCAGAAGAATGAGGTGGTGGGGGGGGGGGGGGGCAATCTGATGGAGGTGTATAAAATGCGAAAGGGGATTGATAAAGGTGGACGTTGAACAGATGTTTCCCCCCTTGTGGGACAGTCCACAACAAGAGGTTGGAGAGGTAGAGCAGGTTCAAAACTGAGATGAGGAGGAACTCCTCTCAGAGGGTTGTGAATCTGTGGCATGAGTGCAGTGGAGGCAGAAATCAGCAGATTCAAGAAACAAATAGATACGTTTCTGATGAAAAGCAGGATAAAGCGCTATTGGGAGCGGGCAGGAAAGTGGAGTTGAGACCAGGAGAAGGTCGACTGTGATCATTTTAAATGGTGGAGCAGGTTCAAAAGGCTGAATTGCCTATTCCCACTCCTAATCCCTATGTTCCAGACTGTGAAGTGAAGCCTTGTACTGTTGCCTGCTTAGTGAGAGGCAGACAGAGTCCCATTAAGAGTCAAGATACTACATTTTAGACTAAAGAGGCAGAGAGACACATACCTTCTGATGTTCATGGGTGCCACACTCTCCCACGTGTTGGTTTTTGGATTATACCTTTCCACAGAGTTCAGACAGCTGGTTCCATCATTCCCACCAGCAACATACAGCATCCCTTCCAGCACCGCTACCCCAGCACTGCTTCGACGACTCAGCATATTAGCAATAGTGGTCCATGTGTTGGTCTGCACAAAAGAAATGAACAAGTCGAGCTGTTGTAAAGATGGTTCAGTGCAGGAAGTAGGGAACAACGGTACAAGAGACAGAGAAGTGAAATACACCTTTGGTTTTAATGGAAAGAAGAATAAAGGTGAAGCAGTCAAGCCATGCCCATCCTGACAGTTCACCCACATGGCAGTTTCACTGAGAATTGTTCTGTGTTCAACATTTACCTTTTAAATACCCCTCTGAGCTGCCCCCACCTCTCCTCACCTAATAAAGGTGCCTCTACTCAAAGCTCCAGCTATTCTAACAGTTGGGGCTTAACCTGCTGAGGTTACTGTGAAGGACCCTTCTTCTCAACCTCTCTCCTTGCTGGGGTGTGGAGACCCTCAGGTTAAACACCACAGGTCATCTCTCTGATGAGAGAGTTACCCTACAGTACGGTAAGACGTAGGGACCTGATTGAGGTTTATAAAGTCACACAGGGCATGAATAACGTGAACAGCCAAAGTCCTTTCCTCAGGGTAAGGGAGTCTAAAACTAAGGGCATAGGTTTAAGGTGAGAGGGGTAAGATTTTAAAGGGACCTAAGGGACAACCTTTTCATGCAGAGGGTGGTGTGTGTATGAAATGAGCTGCCAGAGGAGGTGATGGAGGCTGGTACAATTACAACATGTAAAAGGCATCTGGATGGGTACATGAAGAGGAAGGGTTTAGTGGGATATGGGCCAAATGCTGGCAAATGGGACCAGATTACTTTAGGATATCTGGGTTGGCATGGAAGAGTTGGACGAAAGGGTATGTTTCTGTGCTGTACAGCTCTATGATTCTACCTTCTTTTTAATTAAATCTCACACGGCTCCTCCCTACAACACCTTCAGGGTTTGAGACCGTCTCCCACGTCAGTGGCCAGAGCCAGGCACAGTGTCCAAATCGGAATCTGACCCAGCCACTGTACAAACATTAAAAAAGTACAAATTACGACCGAAGGAAAAGAAATGAGAGAGCTGAACCAACATACATCTTAAAGGTCAACCAGAATGAAATGTTCCCATACAGTTCATCTCCTCCAACACGTCTGTTACCATGGGTACAACATTCTATTGGGACCTGCTTTCATCAATAGGCTGTGAACTTAGATTACCAGCTTTGCTGAGAGAAACAGAGCAGGGTATTCTCTTGCTTTCATGTAAGCACTAGAAATGTATCTGGATATTTGGAGAAGTGAAAGTATTCTAGCTGGGTCAAAGAAAGCTAGGGACAGAGAGAACATCTGAATGATAAAAATCAAAGATATCAGCATTAAAACAAGGACAAAAGAAATTCCAAAAGCACAACAAGTTTCATTTGAAAAAACTCACACCAAGCATTGCAGCCCTCCCTAAACTCTGAGTAGCTCACACACGTGCAAATCAGGTAATTGTAAAATGTGGGTAAGAAACATTAACTAAATTCTACTTCAGTCCCGGAAATTTCAATCTCTGCTGCATTCAAACAGGACATTAAATGGGTGTTTCAGGTAGAATCATTCAAGCTGTAGGTTCCAATTCCAGTTATAGGTTGCACTCATCCGAAAAAAAAGCAAACAACATTTTCTTTAAGAAGCAAAGCAAAAACAGAAATTGCTGGAAAAGCTCAGCAAGTCACTGCAGGTCGAGGAAGGGTCACTTGATCTGAAACGTTATCTCCGATTTCTCTCCACAGATGCCGCCAGACCCTGCTGAGCTTTTCCAGCAATTTCTGCTTCGGTTTTTGATTTACAGCATCCGCAGTTTTTTTGGTTTCCTCTTTAAGAAGGATCACCAGACTTGAAATGTTAACTCTGTTTCTTTCTCCACAGATGCTGCCAGACCTGCTGAGCTTCTCCAGCAATTTCGGTTTTTGATTCAGATCCTCAGTATCCACAAGTCTTTGTTTTATCTTATTATAAAATATTGAGGTCCAAAGTATTGAGAGATAATCTTTTGCCGTTGTTCTCGTTATGATCACTACTCCCTAGGCTTTACAATGTTCCATCTTATATTTTTCGATCTTGTGACTACAACTACCCAAGGAGTATTCTAAATCTTTAAGTATTTCAGCAAAAGTGACTCTAGAGATCTTTTTAACTGTTTTAAAAATAGCTCTTGACATTTCAGTGTTAAGCCCCTTTCACTGATATTTCCATTCTTCAGTTTGAAGGGCATGAGTTACAGATGGAGGACAGAAATGGAGCAAATTGCGTGAACATCAATGCTGCCATTTTAAGAGGGAATTGACTGACATTCCTCCTCCTCTTCCCCTTCTCCTGCCACCACCATCCCATCAGAATGCTCTCTCCCTACAGCCTCCTCCACTGACCTCTCACCGCTGGAGAGTTGGATCAATTTTCAAGCATTGAAATAGGTTCACATCAGGGTAAAGGTTTAGGAAGCATTTCCTTAGGTTCTTTGCAGGAGTCTGCCATGAGTAAACTGTGTTCACAACAGCACAACAGTGAACACACTTCAGCAAAAAGAAAAACAATTTGCTCCTGTAAAACACTTGGGACATCCCGAAATTGTGAAGGGCGTTACATAGATTACAATTCTTTCTGAAAGACACAGCTTCCTACAGCTTGTTAATGTTTCCTGAGGGTCACCCAAATTTAACGTGTGCAGGTCACTGTAATAACATAACACACAGAGATGCTTACACATACTGCCAGCCTGTTATTACATGATTGCACACACAAATCTAACGTGGAAGAAACTGATTACATTTTATGGTGTTGCTCATTATCAGCGGATACTGAAGTCAAGTGTGACATCTGCTGGCGTATGATAATACAAATTACTTTACTTTATTGTGGAGGCAACAATATCTAAATGAAGGGCAGAATTTATAACAAAGGTATACCATTTGTGAAAACTCGTAAATTCACACGTCTCAGTAGGAGACTCCAACAATGTCATATTTGATCAATTACTCTCTACACCAGCCGGTGAACTAAGTGACCGTGATGCTAGTATCAAATGAAGCATAGGTTCGCTCACATGATCTGTAAGCCCAGAGCCAAACCACAGCCCAGGGAGTCTTCAGTTTTATTTGCACGTAACAGTTTCCAGGCCAATGTTTATCAATGAAATCAGTATCAATTAAGAAGGGTAACAGATTATTTGGTCATTATCCTATGGGAATTTGCTTTGCATAAATCAGCTTTGGGATTTGGCGAGGTCGGTAAACCATGATAGAAATGTATGTTTCTGTTTTTAAAGTCCCTATCACTGGCAGACACTGACTCTACACCGAGGTACTTTGTTAACCATATTAATGGGACAGACACAGGAGACCTGGGCTCAGACAATTCCACTGTACTTTGGGTGAAATGTTCCCATCAGTGTCAGGCCAGGTTAGAGAAAGAAGTAATCAGTGAGCGGTTATTGATTTATTTCTTCCGAATCAGAGATGTTATTATGCACAGGTGGGACTTGAACCTAGGTCTCCTGGACCAGAGGTGGGGATCCTGCCACAGAACCTTAGCTGCTGTTTACTAATGTTAAATAATATTTATGGCAAGTTGGTTAAATGTAGTGGTCACCTCTGCTCATCTCTGCCAACCTCCCACCACCAGAATTTAAAGTGGCACCAATCCCAGACTAGAGAAGGCTGGGCTGGTGACTGGAAACAGTGCAAAGGGAATGAAAAGTGGGCAAACTTACAACAAGGGCCAGAAATGATCGAGCTAGAGAAACAGAATTCCTATGAACGCTCCCCAACTCTGAGCAAACCCTTGTCTCGGCGCCAGCACAGAATATGGCAGGACAAACCCTGGGTATGCTGGTGCAATTAATTACCTGTGGATCGTATTTTTCCACTGTTGCTAAATGTGAGGAGCTGTCATATCCACCGACGGCGTAGAGGTTTCCATCTGAAAAGGACAGCACCATTAAAAAGACATTTCGTTGACTGCTTAATGACGGGGTTTCTTTTTGACTGGTCAGCCCGATTTCTGACACCTGGGCAAAAGTCCTACCACGTTAAGAGCATCCAATCCAAGCTTCTCAGAAATTAACGTGGGCTCACCAAGTCTGCAGTAATGACCCAGAAATTGACATTAATTTCTGGGACACTGAGGGGAGCAGGTCCTGATGGGAAAGGGGGTGATGAACTGTGTTTACTCTACTCCAGAACCACTAACCCCCCTCACGACTGTGCCCTTTGGGTTTTGAACATATTTAACGATCAGTTTTAGAAATGCTGAGAAAAGGCAAGCGATCACACGAACATACTTTTGGGAGTATACCCAACCAACCCTGTTGTGACAGAAGGCCCACAGATGGGCAGTGCTCTGAGTCACTCCAGGAGTCTGTTGTCAGAGAAATGACTAGTAAACCCGGTACAATAGAGCTGGTTTGGATAACAAAGTGTGGAGCTGGATGAACACAGCAGGCCAGGCAGCATCAGAGGAGCAGGAAAGCTGACGTTTCGGGTCTGGACCCGAAACGTCAGCTTTCC